TGTCCTTCTTACATAATGCTGCTCTCACCATCGTCACAGTACCTCTGTCACATGAATTCCCATGCTCACCCATTGGTCTTCGTTGCGGGTGGTTATCCTACAGTACAACAATTCATGGCCTTCCCCTCTGGGCAGATTACTACTTGTCTAGACTCCTTACAGGGGGTTAAACAGAGGATTATATAGGGGCATGTTATAGGGCTTATTAAGGGGGATACTAGGAGCCTAGATTATAGCTCACATGGAGATGTTTTTTTTGGTGGGGGGGTGGGTGTTGGGAATAAGGGAATTAATCATATGGGCCATATGAGCTTCGGACTAAATTTAGGTTGGGGGGACCTATAGGGGACTATATATAGGGTTTTGGGGGGGACCTATTAAAGGATATATTACAAATTTAGTCCAGGGCTCATATAGGGATCAGATTCCCTTTCCCTACTAACCACCAGTAAGTCAACATGACTTGGGAACCTTGGTGCACACAGGTAGTTATCAAAACCTGGGTCGGCGTGCGCAGCCCCACTATCATGGTGTCCATGCTATGACGCCTACGGTGAAGGAATCCCAAAGCTGCAAGCCCTTACGCCCAAAAGCCCAAACCCTCCACTATCATTGTTAGCATCTGTTGTGTACATATACACACACAGATTTTTTCATGTTTCTTAGTGTCACACGGTTAAACCGTGTCATTGAGGCAGATGATACCACAACCGAGTTGGTAGAGATCTTCTCCAAGGATCCCCAGGCTCTTTTTGAGGTGGTGGCTTGCCTTAATCGGATTTAGGGTTCTCAGGGTATAGGGAGTATACATATACAAGAAGATGTGCGTATATACAAACGATGCAAATACTATATATCCTGATGCCGCCTCTAGCCATATATGCAGATACACACACACACACACTTGTTTGTACGCATCGGGGTGCACCAGGATGTACACAGGGTATACAGGCAGGGTTTGGGCATTTCGTACTCGTAGGGCTTAGGGAGCAGGATTTCGGTGGAATATCGGCCTTCATCGGCGGGGCTCAGCGAACTTGCGGTAATTCCTTGCAGGTATAGTCCCCCTTAAGTAGAGAGGATATGCCTTGTGGGTATATTATAAAAATATTCGTATATACCCCATGTATACTTTGATATTCTATACTTCACTATACTCTATTATGCTATAATGAACCCTAATATATCATAATACTTAGGGGGGACTGTGAGGGTCCCGTTCGGAGGATGTCATGGCGTCATTAAATCGTGTCAAGAGCGAGCAGTCAGGAGTCTGGGAAAGGTAGGAGAGGCGGTTGGTAAGGATACGAGTCCTTGTAGAAGTGTGGTATGAAGCACCTGCAGCAGTCCTAAAAAAATGATACTGGTAATAAGTCAGGCTGCTACAGTATGTCGAAGGTCTGGCTTCAGAGAACAAAAATGAGTCGCCATGCTTGTCTTTGCAAGTGCGAGAGCAAGGACAGGTTTGGGTGCAATCGTGGTTGATGATAGCCAAAGGAGATTGATGAGTGCAGATGAGAGAAGTTGAGTCTATGGTTGTATTTACCGTTCCCCAAGAATGTAGCCGCAATGGAAATGGTTTGAATTATACTAGAGTAATCCGCAATGGAAATGATTTGAATTATACTAGAGTAATCGAGAAGTCAAAACTCATTCAGCACCACCAAGCACGCAACCTCGGAAGCTTAAGATTTTGCTACATCCATGTCAAGTACTTACAGCAAGAAATCCCACATGAAACATTCAACTACCTGGATTAAAGGGCCACGACCGCCTCCTCAATGGTGGCTTCCAAAATTCGGGGGGCCCCTTCATACACCTGAATGGGAACAGCCCAAGAAGAGATTCCAGATTCTTGCAAACACCCAAGTACCTCCAGAAGCAAGGACAAGTCTGGAGTCACCTCTATCGAGCGTCTCTATCTTTGGTCGCTTACGGCCAAGGCGCATCCCGAGGGATAGGCAAAAGATGGCAGTTGAGGAAAAACCTGGCCCCACTAAGGTATGCTTGTAGAACGGAGGTGCAGACAAATTGTTTCAGAAAACTTGGCAAAGTCCTATCTGGTGATGCAGTGCTAGCAGTATATTCGAACACGTGGAGTGGAGGTTCACGTCAGGGATAGGGATTACTACCAGAATAGCCACGCTTCGGAACACAACCCTCCCCAATATCTAGGCTGTGTTTCATAGTACAGGCAGAAGGGATTACTCTGAATCACCGCCTTACCCCTTTATGTCCTACAAGGACCCAAGGCAGCTGTTAAGGGAAACATATGTTATCCGCTGGTGAGGTAAGTTTGCCATTGCCAATTATAAGTGCTGATGCCTCAAAATCCTCCATGACCTAGAATACTAGAGCCAAGGGAATAAATTACTTGAGATGATGCAGGATTGTTAGTATTCCCTTTATACGAATAGTAAACACACGCCCCCCCACCCCTTATACTGAAGATGTCCTCCAAAACAAAAGGTCTCTTACGTCATACTAGGGGGTGTTAGATATCAAACGTTTTCCATACTATAGTAGTTTCCATCTTCTCTTACATTCTACGAAAAGACTCCCTTTTAGGAGTGGGGGCTGTTTCATAGCAGTATGAAGGGATTATTAGCATTTGTGTTTGGAGAGGTTTCCTTTATAACTTAGGTTGGGCCCCCGCCCACTACTAGTGGCCACAATGGATAATGGTAATTACATTAAGGTCCTTCTACTCCTAATATACCACTATTAGGGGGCCTAACCCAATTTATAACCCCTTTTAAAGGTACACCTAAACCCCAAACCCTAAATTCAGGGGCATTCATTGCCGTGCCTACACTGCTTGTGCGATGCGCGTGTCTATGGATTTTCACAGCCAGGAGAGTGAACCCTTCGAGCCAGTTGCGAATCGACTAAAAGCTACTCTGCTGGATTAGCAGCAAGATTTGAGCAGGCTATAGTCTAAACGCCTTGAAGGGGGCTTTAGAGGGATTATATACAGGAGCATTAGAGGGATTATTTAGAGGGATGCTGGGAGTTTAGACTATAGCTCATGGTGGTTAGGCCCTCGCCCGCGAATGAACTGTGACCGCCATGAAGAATAGCAAAGACGTTAGGACCCCAGTCAAACTATGACAACCCTGAACTCTTAAACCATTTACCCCAGAGGGCCCTCCGGGATCGGTTGTTGAAGCTAGGAGAAGGAACGGGTGCAAATAGCTAAGGAGATCATGGAAAAGGACGATGCAGCTCGGCAAAGTTCAGAAGCGCTGAAAAGAGGGCGCACGGCGGCAACAGATTGGAAGACAGGTCGCAAGTTGGTCTCAATAATAACCCCCCTCCCAATCCCCCTCCCATTAATAGGGAAATATTAAGGCCGTTAAAAGGAGGGGTTTATTAATTTGGGAATCCTAAACCCTATATAACCCCATTATAGTAGTTTCCATTTCCTTTTCCTTTACCCCCCAATATAACCCCTTAGCTCAAAAAATGCCGAAGTCTGCATCCCTAAACCTTGAACCCTAAACCTCAAACCCTAAACCTTAAACCCTAAACCCCAAACCCTCAACCCTTAGCCTTAAACCCTAAACCCTAAACCCTAAATCGCCAAGGCTCAGTTCCAGGCACTCCCAGTTGTGGAAGAGCTTGGCCTTCAGAGCTTGACAACGAACTGCCCAGAGGTCAGGGCCTTGGCTACGGCAAGAACATACATAGGGTTTAGGGTTTAGGGTATATGTGGGGATTATGGAAAAGGAAGTGGAAACTACTATAGTAGGGTTTAATATAGGGTTTAGGGTTCTTGTCAGAACCCCAAACCCTAAACCCAAATTTATCTGGACTCATGGGTTGCGCTTAACCCCAGTCCATGGCCAAGGATTCGACTGCAAGAAGTTCTCACTCACCCAGCTGGCGTTGTTTCGGTAGGGTAGAAGGTTTAGGGTTTGGGGACACTAAGCCCTGAGCCCTGTAGGGTTAAGGTTCCAATTGTTCCCTGCTGTCGCGGCCGCATCAGAAGGCATGCTTCAGATAGGTGCTTTAGCTTCCACACCATGAGTCATGAGAACCTTATTTAAATGGCCCCTAGCCAGAAGCGGTTTAGGGTTTAGGGCTTAGATAAGAAAACAAGAGCGGACACTCCTAGCGAAAGATCCACCTGCTGGATTCCCCCAGTGTGTCCGCACTTCTCGACATGCCCATATTGCGGCCACCTATCTTGAGGACAGAGCAACTGTCTGGGTAGGCAGAGGCAGATATGGATATAGACGCCCGATTTTTTACATCCCTGGACCCTAAATCCTATAGTAGTTTCCATTTTATTTTCCATAATCCCAATATAACCCTATATTACCCTATAATATCCCTATAAATCCTATATAACCCATTATAGTAGTTTCCATTTTATTTTCCATTATCCCAATATTACCCCAATACAAGGCATTTGGATCGCAAGTGCGTGTGGAATGGAGACGGCTGCACTTCAATGGCTCTTTGCGGACAGATCCTGGGCTGCAAGTAGCCACTGAGTTCAGGGGTATATAAGGGCTGTAGGGTTTAGGGTTTAGGGGGGTTATATTGGGGTTATAGCAAGGTTATAGTACGGTTATATTGGGGGTTATGTTAGGGTTATATTGGGTGGATCATTGTTGCGGAGTTCTTTTAGTTTGTTGAGGGCGTCTCTCATTGTGGCATCTTTTGGCCAACCCCTGTCCTTCCGGCCCATCGAAACGAAGATAGGTGGAGGCGTTTCTGATCTTTGTGAGGCACCATATATTTGTACAGGTCGTGAGGGTTTTGTTATGCGGACAGGATCCGTGACTCAACCGGAATCATTTCAAGCCCCTGAGACTTACCTGGGCTGATTTCATGATGGGGAAATGAGCGTCCCCTAAACCTTGGTCTCAGTACACGGTTTAAAGATGTTGAACGTGAAAGGCTTGCATTCCGGCACAACATCCCATTCCTGTGTAGTTAAGTAGACTTGGATTGGAAGCCAGCTTCGCGCTGACGTCCTTGAGCTGACTAAGATCTACGTCGTCCATCCCAGCAATGTGGTGCATGACCCTGTGCTTTATCTTGGCTGGAGCCTTACATCAGGGTTTCGAGTGCGATGCAGTCTCAGGACGCATCCAGCGTTAGCAGGCACACCGCAATCTGTTCGAGCTACAGCAGTTAAGATGATACCATGCGTTCAGGGAGTGGGGGGGCATATTCATCCATTGCTCTCAGGCTTCAATTGGCTAACGCCATGGAGTCTGCAAGAACCTTCTATGAGGATCATGGACCCTTGTTTGAGACATCATGCTTTTTGTGTTTGTAGTTTTTGTTGTTTGTTGTGTGAAGGTTCGGGAATCCAGTGCTCTTAGTAGGAAGGCATGCCAAGCCAAGGCTCATCGGCTCAATCGGAGAATTTTCTGCATAACGTCCGAGGCAGACGCTCGGATGATTTGATGATCAGTTCTGGCTCGAAGCCTACACTGTCAACAGCCTCATATCCCAAAGAGCTACTTTAGATAGAGGAGTTGACAAATGCTGGCGTGCAAAACACTAGCTGAGGTGAGTCCGGAGCTACTGCAAGCTGGTGATGACCTGGACTCGACTGGACAAGCTTTCTTCACGGATTTGTACACCATGATCGACACGCTCCCCTTGCCCTACAAGTCACCCGCCTGCCTGTGTTTAGAACAGCCCAAAGCGGATGGGCTGCTGACGTGGCAGTGACGGGGCTAAGTCAAGTCAGTTGTAGACTTCACAGAGCTCCACAAGCAATAGAAACACGTAAGGCAGAAACAGTTAGAGGCCGATGGGCAGCTATAAGTGAGGTGAGAGGCAGGATATTTTTCATTGAGCCCTGAGTCAAGGTACTAAAGCCCCACTGATAATATAGCCACCCATGACCCTCTAAGTACTGTCATGGCTTCCCCTACTACTGCGCCCCATACCCTTGGGTTTCCCCATACTTCATGTTCATTGACTAGACAAAATCATGGCTAATTAAAACCCATCAGGCGGGACCTGCAGGGGGTAGTACTGGGGCAGGGGGGGTGAAGGTATATACCCCATTACTATACTATAGTAGTTCCATTTTCTCTTCCATTAAATCCCTATGAGATATTCCCTATATAACCCCAGTATATACCCCATTGTACTTACTCCCAGGGGAGCCGTGCTAGCAGAGCCTTGGAGCCAGGTTGATCTTGATGGACAATACCTTTGGACTTGGAGTCCCCCTGCTCTGGAAGTTGCAGCCGCGGCTGAAGCACATCCTGGTAGTAAATACCAGCTGGGTCTTCAGGCGGGAACGTTCTCTGTGGACCTGCATATCGGGGTGGGGCAGCATGAGGCTTATGTAAGGTACTCCTGGTTGCATGCAAGCCTTTCTTTGTCCAAGCTTCATTTTTTGTTTTTCTTCTGCGGCCAATCATTGTTCTCGCGTCATGGCCGTCATTCGTACCAGGCGTGGTTCCCTGCAATCGCTGTGGTTCAAGGCCTGGAGCCTTCTGAAAGTGTAGAAACGAGATCAGCATAGAGCGATGATCCGCATCCTCATCTCAGCGGTGCTGCTGCTGCTGGCCCGTGGGGACGACAGCTTCTTCCTGGCACCGCTGGAGGGAAAGCAAGGCCCAGAGCTTGCCTTGATCCTGGTGCAGGGTGCCAGCTGCCCCGTAAAGGGCTACAAGCCGGTGGGAGAGGCAATCCAGAAGGCCTCTCCATTCAAGGTTTGGGTTGGCGTTCCGCAACACCTCTTCGACCTTGCAGAGTTCCAGTTTGAGGCAAAGGTAAATGACATGCTGAAGCAGATGGAGAATGCGGGTATGAAGGCTCACCACAAGGTGATGATGGGCCACAGCCTTGGAGCTGTCCAAAGCCAGTTCTACGCCGCGGGCTCGGGGCAAGGCAAGATCGATGCGCTTGTACTGACTGCCGGCACGGTGCTGCGAAAGTACCGCAATTCCACAAAGCTGCCACCAACGCTAACGATTGATGGAGACCTGGATGGACTGTTGCGCATTACGCGCCAGGCGGAAGCTTACTTCCACCAGGTGATCAAGGTTGGCGGAGCTGACGCACCCGGATTGGATCGGCCAGTGGTCTTGCTGGAGGGCCTGGACCACTGGAGCTTCAGCTCGGGCGACCGCCCATCAAATGTCAAGAAGAATGACATCCAGCCAGAGGTGACGATGGAAGCGGGCCACGCAATGATCGGTGAAGTAGTGGCGGACTACATGAGCTCTTTGTTTGGCTCTGATGAGGAGAAGGCAGCAGCTGGGACGAAGATTGTAGGAGCTGTCAAGAAGACCGGGGAGCTGGTGGAACCTGTCCTGGCTGCATTGCACCTTGAGGGCTACCACTACCTCAATCCTCCATGCAACAGCGACTACCCCACCAACCCAACCTGTCAGTACGCCAGGTATCCTGACAAATCCCTACTGCCGCCGGCTGGTCCCCCCAAGCCTATGCCTCCAGCTGATTGCACCTGTGGTAGTGACTGGGTGGCCAACACGGCCGCCAGCATTGTGGCGGGTTTCGAGGAGACTCCTGCATCACAGGCAAAGCTTGTCACCAAGGATGCGTTCCACGACGTCTCCGATGTGAGGCCATTCCACTTGCCCCACATCTTTGAACCTCAGCCGGGAACCGCCTGCTCAGACCCTTCCACGTGCTTCATCAATGCCACCACCGTGTCGATGCCCATCTATGATTTCAAGGACGACTTCGACACAGGCCTTTGGCCGGTCACCGCCAGCGAATTCCGAACGAAGTTCAAGTCCCGTGAGGCTCTGCAGCAGGCTGCAGGACTTAAGGATGTCAACTACACAGCAACAGATGAGTTGAACACCGAAATCTGCAAGTCCATCAACCAGGCTGCCTACGACTGGGCCTTGAAGGCAGCCTCCAGCATTGCCCGTGACCGCTTCCTGAAGCATGGCCAGCCACTCGTTTCTGGGTTGCTGTTAAGGAACTTAAATTAATTCACTATATTGGGGAAACCTTATTATTTACTATATATACATATTATGGTAACTTAATTTAAGTTCCTTAACAGCAACCCAGGTTTTCGTGGAGGATAAGAAGTCCGGCTTCGGTCCCAGGGGTCCAACGTGGATCCACGATGCGCTGTCCTTCACTCCTAGCCAGGATAAGAAAGCGGTCGCTGTGCAATCCCACTACTTCCCCCTAAAGAACAAGAAATTGGGAGATGTGCCCTTCATTCAAACTGTTGGCTATCACTACTGCAAGCTCTTATCGCCAGCACGCGCCATGGAATGGATATATGTGGACGGCCTGAAAGAATTCTATGGCACCAGGAACGATCAGATTCAAATCGTAGTCTAAATGATGCTGCCGAATTCCAACCTGGCGAGCGGCGTGCTTGGCTCACTGCCTGCGGGTGTTCAGCCCGACCATTTCCCATTTTGCTCTAGTCCCCAACCCCGCGAGAGTGTCAGAGGGCCTTCGCGGGAGGATTGTTTCAGCACGTCTTGCACTTGGTGGGACGCGCGGACCTGCCCCGGGGACTTTTCCAAGTTTTCTGAGCCAATGTGAGCTAGAGTCTAAACTGCTTAAATGGAGTGGTCATATAGGGAATTATTTTTAGAAGTTATGAAGGTGATACTAGGAGTTTAGACTATGGCTCAAGTGGGTCCGAACCCTTGCAAGCTTTAGCCAGGAGGGCGCATGCCTCGGCATGTAGCGCGGCACAGCGGTGCAGAAAAGGAAAACTGGAAGTGAGGTGGACCCCCCCACCCTGTAATAGTGGTTTAGTAGGAAGATAAGAGGTCCCTAATATGATCCTCATTATCCCTTATAGCCACTACTACTGGGTGGGAGGTCCGCCTAAGCTGGAAGGTGCAAGGCAGCTTGCGACAGGGTCATCTGGAGGGTTGTCCAAAGTCTGCTCACCTTCGGGGCACTTAGAATATTAGCTACAGGCCACCTAACAAGAATTGCAGTAATAATGCAAGTAAAACTACTACTAAGAATACTAATAATACAACAGCTTAAATATGAATAATGGTAATAACAGCCTGATAAACCTCGTTGTTGCAGCTGTTGTTGGCAGGCTTGGCTTCGTGCATAGCTCCACCCACAAGGCCCGGCTTGTGTGCTGCTGCAAAGTATTCCGCCCTAAACCCTATACCGCGGGTTGAGGTTTAGGGACGGGTGTAGGGTTGAGCAACCACCAACCCATGAACCATATATCCTTGCAAACGCTGTCTGGCCCTGCTATAAGCCCTTAGAGCGAAACCTATATCATGCAAAACATAACCCTGAAACCTGATACGTCCCCACATGCCCCACCTAGCCCCTTGAAAGGACCCCCTTCTTTGTAGAAGCTCCCTCCACCTAGACCCTCCGCCCACCCTCTATATACCCACTTATGAGGGACCATGCACCCCCATTTAAGGGTACAAGGGAGGGTCCTGGTATAAAGATGCAAGGTTCTAGCTGACCGCGCCGCCAGCCTAAAGACGATTGCTGAGCAGCGCGCGTCTTGTCCTTTTGTTGGATTCAAGTCCTTAAAGGGGATAGTAATATAGGATTTAGGGTGTCAACTCCTTAAAACTGGGGTATATAGTGGGTTATACTGGGGACAAGGAATAGCATAGGGTTTAGGTTAGGGTGTAAACTCCTAAAATTAAAAGGGGGATATATTAATGTAGGGGATTATATCGGGGACTTTTAGTAGGTCTTGCGGGTTCGGGACTTGGCGTTGCAGTTCAGGGTCAGATAAGTGGGGGGGGGTTCAGGGTTTGGGAGGTTTGGGGTTCAGGATTTAGGGTTTAGGGTTTAGGGGGCTTAGAGTCGGTGCAGGGAGAGACAAGTGTCGAGGTTCAGGCTTCGTGGCAAGAGGAGGCCAAACTTGCCATCCATTCTTGGTAGTTGGTTAGGTGGACCCCCCCACCCTGCCATAATGGTATAACACGAATATAAGAGGACCCTCATATAATCCCTATTATCCCTGCTAGTCACTATTACTGGGTGGGGGGGTTTACCTGAGTAATGGGTCTTTCTTGCACCCGGCCACAGTTGCTTACCTACTACGAAATCCAACGATGACCCCAATATAAACCTTACATAACCCGTATATAACCTCAATATAACTCCAAGATAACCCTAATATTCCCGATGAGGACATCAAGAGCATGGTCAAGGTGTGTGGCGAGTTCATCTTAGCCACCTGGCCTCAAACGACTCCGCACAGCAAGCATGAAGTGGTAAAGCTTCAGGTGAATTTGGGGTCAAATGCTTAGGGCTTAGTGATATGGAGACGAAATTTGCACAGTTTCGAAGTTTCGAAAAAGGTGACATGGGATGTTGGGTTTTAAGGTGAGGGTGTGTTGGCAAAGCCGACTTGGACCGCATCAATCTCTGATAAGTAGACTTTGGGTACGGCCGCCACTCTGTCATGCGCTTAATCTGACCCCTCAGAAAGACTGTTATAGGGTGGGGGCAGTACCCAAAGTAGATTCTCCCAGGCGCCATCCCTGCTGAAAGCGCAGATACCTTCGAGCGTGCAGTGGAGGTGACCTGGCAGCCAGCTTGTCCTTTAGATACTGCGCCCACTCTAGCAATCCCTATACGGGGATCCTTAATCAGGGTAGCATATGACTATAGGGTTTAGGGTTTAGGGTATACTGTTGCAGGGTGGAGGCAGTATCCAACTTCTCCTCATGGTCGCCGCATCTGATTTTAGGGCGCAGGGCTGATCATAGGGTTCAGCCTCCTGGTCCCATGGAAGCACAATTCCATTGGTGTGAGCACTTTACATGGGACAGTAGATTGGCCAAGCAGCTGCATGACATCTCGACGTATTTCCCTAGGGAAAGATGACATGAAGCCATCCCACATCCTGATTTATTGAGGCTGTGATTCTGGAAGAACGGGCCAAAACGCAAGGGATGAGGGGGCCCAGAAATCAAAAAAAAAGAGCCACACTACATCCTTCCAAGAGCGTGCAGAGAGCGGACTGTGGGAACCCCAAGTCCCAGGCACAGCTTAAATGAGGTATGAGGGTTATACAAGTGTTATATAGAGATAATGGAAAAGAAAATGGACACTACTTTAGGGTTTAGGGGTTAGGGCTTGAAGGTTTGGGCACCGGGGTTTTAAAGATCATAGCCAGTGCCTGGCATCCCTCTCCACGAATGCTCGCCGTTTTCCACAGGATGCTGTGGCCTAACCATCTCGACAACCAACTACATATGTATATATATATATTCTATATTATATGTCATATATATATATAATACCTTATATATATACACATATTATACTAGTATACTATATGTGCTACATAGCAACGGTCCCTGTCCATGCATTCCGAATCTTATGTCCCGTTATTCTGGCTGCTCTTAAGGAAATTAAGTTCAATTACCATACCGGATGTGTATATATATATATATCTGTGATGATCAGCATGGTTTCCCCAATATAGTACCTTAAATTAAGTTCTTTGACAGCAACCCAGTATGCACAAGGCCGGTAGGGACTTCTGGCCCTCCCTATGCCCCCTTGGTCTCCTTGTCCTAACAATACCTCAACCCCCACCTAAGATACTTCCGGTATGGTACCTATACAGTCTGGGCACTATGTATTGTTGGCTGGGCATATCAATTATTAGGGGGTGGGGGGGAATATACAGCGGAGGCAGTCAGCGTTTAAAGCAACCCTAGCCCCTGATCTTTCTGAAACCCAGATTTCTGTACAACGAGTTCGAGCACGGTCTTAAGACTGCTTCGGACACCTTCTGGCAGAACTTTGGCTAAATCCTACTGGGGTAGGAGCTCTAAAGCGCTACACGCAAAATCTTCAACCCTAGATCATTATAGTCACCCTTCAATTAATTAAGAAGACAGAGTGCGGGTATGTGGGGGTGTTCTTATGACGTTAGGGAACTCCGAAATCTATCTACTGATGGGGGACTGTACTTCTAAAGCTTCACCCTGAACCCCACTGAAGTTCAACTCGAACCTGAACCATGGCATTCTTTTGGAATTCGTATTGATCTCTTCATACTACTGTTAAACACCCCCCCGAAGAGCTTTGCGGTGAAAACCCCAATTACCTACGGTTTCAAGGGTTCTGCCTCTTGCTTGGGGGATATAGTTACGATTGGAGGGTGGGTGACTTGGGTTACATGTAGGGTTCCGGGAGGATTGCACACTTGCTATCTTTGATCAGCCTCCTTCTCATGTAATCCCGATTTGCTAGTCGAGAAATGGAAAATAATGAGAGGTCTGTGCCATGAGGGTTTCTGACAGTTTGCAAAAGTTTTTGAAGTTCCGGGAAGGTAGGAAAATTTTCCCGGTTTACAATCCGTCACTTTCACGGTGGGCATGTTCTGCAGTTCATGATTTCTTCCAGGAGTCAGAGTTCCGGGCAGGGTAGGCGAGATTGTGGGCGTTAAGGGGGCATGCTCTGCAATGTTGGCACATTATTTGACTTTGTAAAAGACAGCCTGCCACAAATCTCAGAGCATGAGGGATGGCGCAATGCATCAGCTTCGCCACACGCCTGGACATTTTCTAAACCCCTCCCATGAGAGGGGATTTCATTTCGCAGCAGCAGGTTGAAGTGCTGAGAATTATGGATGCTGTAAGCCATATGGGTGGTTGTCAAAATTATGGTCCCTTTTTGGATCCCAATTATAATACGGCCCCTAATATTTAGGGTTCCCAAAAGGGGACCATAATTTTGACAACCACCCATATCACGGGGTCACGACGGTGGAGCCATGAGGAGCAGCGGGAGATGAAACCCCTTGTAGTGATAAACGCTTTTTCGAGCCGTTGAGCCTCACACAATCCCTAGGGTCCAAGGACCCAAATAATAGGGTTTCAGGGTCCAAATATTATATGTTTAATGGCATTTGGGCGCTAAAGCCCTATTAAGGTCTGTGGACCCTTAGGAAATTACGGCTCCAAGGTGATTCTGCGGGGTTTGAGCTGTCCGTTTTGAGTGGATCTAGTAAGCGGGGAGGAAGAGCATACGGGAATTCCCATACGAAGGGTGGTCTCTTTTATACCCCAAGGTACTATGATCCTCATAATGGGAGATCCCCATGACAGACCCCTAATCCTTGGCCATCCCCTTAAAACAGGTATTCCCACCAGCATGCAGTCGCTTCCTTGATTCTGAACTCCATGCGGGCTGCTTTGCCTTGTTGGCTGAAATGCCGAGGATGTCCTCCGCACAAGTACACTGGAACTTCAACCAGCTGACCCAGCGGACCCATAGCAGCATTCAGGATTGAAAAGTTGAGGGACCAAAGGGTTCTGGACGGTTTGATCTCAATGGCTCAAGGGCGAGTTTTGTGCCAAAGGGAGGGAGGG